GTCGGGACCCGGCCCCTCGCCGACGCTGGGGACAGCCAAGCTCCGCAGCACGCGGGCGGGTCGAGACATACAACCGCGCGGCAAGCAGGCCTACGTCAAGCGATTAACCTTATTTAAGGTGCCGTAGAGACAGGGCTGCCAAGCGTTAGGCGTTTCGCATGGCTGTCACGGACTTGGCTGCCCTATCGAGCCTCAGGCCCGCAGCTCCGACGTCCTGATCAGATCAGCAGCCTTCCCTCTCATCTCAAGCAAACAAACAACCCTGAGCCCCTTCCTCAATTAGCAATATCAGACATCCTCCAGGCACCCCCATCCATCCCGCCTTTAACCGCAGCAGCATATCCAAACCTCAGGCTGCGCAATGTTTCTCCCCTGTGATGACTTAACTCCAAGACAGTTTCTCATTGCTTGCCGGTTCCTAGTAAAAGGACAACTTAACTGCTTAAATAATTTGGAAAAATAAATGATGTAGGGGCACAAGAACCTGGCAGCTACGGGCAGGTTTCAGTCTCGCTAGTGTGAAAGCGCAACGCCGTCCTTAGGTCGAGCACGCGCCAGATGACAGCTTCCAAAATCTTGACCTAGGCAGAAGCACCAGCTCCGTCCCCCAGGCCAGCAGGCCAGACGAGCCCAAAGCCCGGCCCGGGCTCCGGGGCCGCTCGCAGGAACGCCGCCTTCGCCCTGGCTCTGGCGACGAGGCTGGTTGAAGCTCCCTTGCGTTACGGGGCGGGAGATTACAAAACTAAACATTTTTTCTGCACAGTGAATGAATATGAATGGGAGAATACCTGTATCTTCTCCTCTTCCTCCTCCTCCCCCCGTTTCTATCGTTATGTTCCCTTTTCTCAGCCTCAGGCTTCAGTCAGGCAATCTGAAACCGTTGCAAATACTTATCTGTACTTCCTTACCTGCAATTCATTATTTACTATGCTATTCAGTTAATAGTAAATACTGATTGCTCTAAGGACAGCTCATTTGTTTGTTTAATGAGCTGCCTTTTACTTACAGTGAGCAAATCTTTCAAAAGACCTGTATTACTAAGAACCAAAGCAATTCCAGATTTTTCTATTGCATACTGCTGCTGCAGTAAGAGAAATGCTGGACGACTAAACAAGAGAAAAAAAATACTAAATTTCCATTTATCTTATAAACCTGGTGAGCAGTTTTCACTACATGCAATTACGGTATTAAAATTGCTCATAAGCAGTAGCAGGACGACAGCCCAAAATCCCATATTTCTGGTCTGCTGCTTCTAAGAAAAATTATGTTGTCCTATTAAATATGGCATCCATCTCAGCTATTTGATTTCCTCTGAAAATATGCAAGGTTCGGTCCCCAAGTTCTCCACAGCACACATATTAATGAAAGTACCGGATTGCCAGAGCTTAGGACTGGTAAAGTTCAGAGTTGACCTTCTCATTAGCTAGATTCAGACTTAATTTATCAGTGACATATATGTTACAAGATTGGTAAATAAAAGCCTTTGGTAATTAGAAATTACAGCCTTCAGGGTGGCCCTAGTTATGAAACAATACAACAAAACTCAAGGAAAAAAAAACGTTTCCTGGTACAAGAAATGAACATTTGGTTATTTAAGTATACCGTACGTTGCAAGGCACAGGACTTAATAGTTAAGCACTCTTGCTCTTTCCTAGACACAATTACAGAAGAAAAAAAAATAACTCCAGCCTCAGTCAAAAATTCCCCACAGCAGTCCCGCTCACCAAGGGCTACGGCTGGATCTTACCCGCGGCTGACCCAGTCGCACCGGAAAGCTCGCATCGCTCCTGCCA